GTGGCTAGAATTGTCTATGGCGCCTCGCGTCAAGCTGGCCGGTGGATCTGCACATGAACAAGAAGGGACGCGTCCTGAACTGAGGTCGGTCCGTCCGGAGAGTGGCAAATAGGAGTTTCGCATCAGATGTCGACTTCCTGCCACGACCGGAAGTCGAAGTACAGCCCGCAGGACTTGTGGCCCAAGCTACCAGTGGACGAATGGCGTCCCAGTGGCTGGAATCTGCTGCAGGCAACCTTGCGTACCTACGCCAGATCATGTCCCCCTCACAGGCAATTGCAGCCCCATAGATTTCTACAGTACCACTTTCTTATGCCAGCCTTACTTCAGATCCCCGCGTGGCAGGAACTCGATATCCAGCCGGCGCTTCTTCTGGTTGCTCGTCAAATGAACTTTCGCCATTTCCAGACACGTGAGGACTGATCTGTCTTGGGGTCAGGCTCCTACTGAGGAAGTACACAAGAAGTTCCAAGCCCGAGTCAGAGGAGCGTGCGCGATGACGACTTGGAAATGGGCTACCCCAGGCCCAGCAAGCAGGAGCCTTGCAACCCTGACTCATGCAACTTGGCCAACCATGCTCTACGGCTGGATCACCGCAGATATGGGCGCATAGAGGGTAGTATCTCTTCAAACATGTTCTCCCTGCCGCAAAACATGGAATCAGAGACGGCTTTGCAATTTGGACCATGTCAGGCTTGTGGCTGTGACATGGGACCGTTGCTGCAGCTGACTGAAAGACTTTCGCACTTTTATCTTCCCGGAAATATACCATGGGAAGCTTATATGGGCAAGGCTGCGGTACTGACTGCCGATCAGAACTCTGCAGCGGTGCGTAAGATACGTCAGTGGGCACTACGAGACTACGGGATAAGCTTGATGTTCCCGTCATATGGGGCACTAGACAAGGACATGTGGGAAGCTGCGATCTCGTCTAAAGGGACAGCTCGTCTGGGCGGTGGGTCCATGCTGATCACACTGTCTTGCAGCCCCTCAGTTTGGACAAGTCCTCCCTCTCTCTCGTTCTCTACTGTGGTTTGGATCCTGTCCTCCCACGGGGCAAGAACGTGTGATCTGATTGTTCCAATTCTGTCTGGCGACACTCTGGCATATCTGCGCGATCTTCTGCGGCAGCAATATGAACCGGCTGAAGGGGCGAGTATGCAGCCGGTGCAGGGGATGCGTCTTCAGCAGCGCGTGCATTGCGATCCATGATTTAAGCGCTCTCTTCCTGAATCTGTCGTGGATCGACAATATGCTCCCCGCTACTTCAAAAGCCCATGAATAACACGCTACTATTTACGTGCTAGCGCAAGATTCTAGACTTACCATTCTTTCTCCACTCCCCAGTGGACTGAAAATACAGCCTATCAGACGATTCATCGCCTAGAAAACACTCCATATCATCGACGGGAGGGGCGGAAAGTCCGTCGATCTCCATGATTTGTGATAGGATTTGGCATTTATTAAGCCCTCTGAATATACATGTCTTTTTTACCCATATTGGGAGACACAGGCATTCCAGAGTTGTTCCTCCCCAGATATTGTCAGTGGTTAACTCATATGGCGCCGTACCGGGTGAGGCATCGCCGAAAGGTCACAAACGCTTTTACTGTCAGCGGGGCCAGCTGTGGGACCCGGTTGCAGAGTTGCGAAATGATCGGCAAATAATTGTGAGTAACTTTGAATTTTGACAATACTGCTAGTAGGTGTGCACGAAGCAAACAGTTCAAGAATGAGGAGGAGGAATGAAGGGAGGTGTAGCTTGTCCATTGGCAAGAACAAGAGGCTCGCTGCCATCTAGATTCTTTTCACGTTGACTCGCCTAGACGTAGCCTTGCGCAGCTAGTGTTCATATGTGCTTGCAGGTAACTCTATCGCCCGATGCCAACCTGGGTGTATGGTCCAAGTACATTCAAATCCCGGGGACTAGCACCGGAGTCCGGACGACCACATTATTTCAGCTTCAAACCTCGGCTTCAGATTTGAGCAAGAATCGAAAAGCTCATGCCTCAGTCAATCCAATTGCAGAGTTCAGATTGTGCTGGGGCATGCATGGAATGGCCACTTGCCAACCGCTTAAAGGGCTAGTGACAGTTCAAACTTCTGGCGTTGCGGCCGTTCTTATAATTGTGTAGCTTTCGTACAATGACGGATACAGCGTAGGAGGCCATCCCGTGACTTGCGACAAAGTTTTGATTGTCCTTAGAGTCCGTAGGCAATGGTATGATCGTAACTTCTGCAGAATACTTTTCTCTGCGGGATCGCACAATCAGGGCAGACGACCTATCAGTCTTGTGTGAGTCTGTCTTTGTTTCAGAACGGGACCTTGATCACATACGCATTTGCAATGCAGACATATGGATGCAACGTTCGCGTCCACCTCCACCAGTCGACAACAAACCGGACTCCAAAGGAGCTGAGCTGTTAGCTCAACGGTGGGACTGAACACGTAATTTTAAACATTCGTCATTCCGGGGAAACGTCCCACCTGCTTAGCACCCCTAGCGACGGGCAGCTGCTAGTTTGGTAGGGGCGTTTTCACTGCCCACCCATGAGTACTAGTGCATGGCTTTGAGTTCAGGCTAAGGCTGGTTAACGGAACAAGTAGGCTAGATTCAGGTGACACTGGTAACTAAACAGTGGGGCAGTCGTTGATCTCTACCTCCAGACACAGCTTAGAATCAAGCCATATCGAGAAGGTTTCGGTACCTGTCAACTTGGTCACGTGTCATTGTCTGTATGCATGACCCGGGCATGAATGAAGGGGGATGTCCGGGGCCAGAGGACCATACCAACCTTTGCAACCTGTAGCCAAGCTGCCAAGTGTCCCAGTCAAGCCGACGCTTGGCTATGATTTGCGCTGGACCCGCGCGATAGCCGCAAGGAATAGATCCACACCGCCGATCGCAGCCGTTATGGAAAGATGACAAGGGTGTTACCGAACGTTCGGTTTGGTACACTTGGAGGAAAGCGCCGTTTAGCGACCAAGGCATGCAAGTCGATTGTGGCGTTCCATAGGTAATCACTACCGTATCTAGGTTCCGCATCTCATGAACCGTATTTGATTTATACTAGATTTCGGAATATTAAGCCCGGACTTGATTAGGGCTTATATTTATTGCTTGATAACTGCTCCTTGTTTCCAACTGTTGGACTTCGAGTCTGTACTACACAGACCTGGTGAAGACCCAGTTCGTAGCAGTCATGTGCCTTCAGCGATCAAGGTCTAGCCAAGTGCGCCGTCTACTCAAGTGGCAAGGGCTTGAGTGGAGCAGACTGGGGCAACGGTTTGAGACTATCTAAATGCCAAGAAATGCGGGATCGGTGTTCTGTAGTCCCCCAAAAATGCCTCAACCAGACTCGCAAGCGAAGAATAGCTACAGTTTGATAAAGTGTCGTTTCGGCTGCCAAACTCCGTCAAAGATTGGTTAGACTGATGTCAACAGGGATCAAGCCATGTCATATGCGCTTTCTTCTGCGTTACTCTTCCGATCGCACTCATCAACACGCTTCGTTGTGTACAACGCAGTCGAGAATTTTGCACTCCTGCTGTCTGTGATGGATGCGCTGTTCAGTCAATAATTGTCTCAAATTATGACTGAGTCATTAGGCGCATGGCTAGCGCGGCTGTGGCGTGTCAGCCTAGCAGCGCGGTTGCGAGCAACGGCATCTCAGATCCATTGAAGAAGGACCATCTGGGGCACCTACAAGACTTTCACCCAGAGCAGATCTGACTCGGCCCTGGCTTATGGAATTGCGTGAGAATAAATGTCGGAAGCCACACTAACAGAAACCAGGAATGGAGGCGAAGTCCGAACTTCGTTCGCTACGCAGTCTGACCTGGCAAACGGCGCTGGCATGTGAGACCACAGCACGTGCTTCGGGCGTGGGTATGACCCTGTCGGCGCTTGGAATGCTAGCGCGCTAGGCTGACCGTTGGGAGTATGAGGGCATTCGCAGCAACTCGCCAAACCTCTGAACTGCGTAAGTCGCACAATATTGCAGGGCATAACGCACAAGCTAGGGGCCTGGAAGCCAACCGATCAGGCAGCATGCATAACTAGGTTTGTACTCAAAATTAAAAACTATGAACCGCAGCTCTATGCCTTGTAGTTCGACTTGGCAAAGCATCGGGGAGGCTGCCTAGCCGTGCAAACGAACTAAGCCCTCGGCCCGGAGGACTAAAACGGCCAACAGGGCAGCAAGTTGGCCGATATTGTTGTGAGCGTTTCATCGAATCTTCTCACTTTTAGAATCTCTTCGTCAGTGTCCACTTGCCGGTCAAAAGCCAGCCAGACTTGAGTCATTCTGTACATATCACGTTGGGAGGTCACAAGTGATCGAGACTCTTTCCAAGTCGACAATTCCTGCGATTCCCATTGCCCATGGATTTGGTATGCAATCACCAGAGGTGATGACCGACCCCCTGTACCTGCATATACTTTGCCAGATATCCTTGCTCATTCTACCATCGCGTATTGAGCCAACATGTCCGGAGACCGGCTGTCATTCCATATGTTTCAAACCTCGTCTGCGAACCCAACATTGACAAACAAGCACGATGCTACGCAGTCTGCAACCGTCAAGGCGCCGGCACACAGACATCCCTAAGTTAGTCAAGCGTGTGATGATCACGTCCAAGCAAGGCTCATTTAGGTAACCAGGACACTGAAGTACGGCAGAATTACCTCCTCCAGCGCCAACTTACTACGAAAGGGTGCGCTTGCACGTCAACCGATATAACAGGGGTTGTCGGAGTGAAGATACCCGAGCTGCTTCAGCTTCCGCAGGGTCGGCATGCCGTAATCATACCCCATAGCTTAGCCGTCTGCGGTATATCTATCTGTCGAACCCGGGATGGTGCGAGTCCGGGGTGTTACGAAAATCATCGTTGAAAAACGTGCCTGACTAGCCTTCGGCGTCCTTCGGTTCTTCCAGTACTACTTGTCGTGGGCTCTCATCGTAATGGGAAAGACACGAGTTCCAAGATCTTGCCAGCCATGTCGTCTGAGAAAGTACGAAACCTTTCAATACTACTGGTGAAGTCGTAGTTGACCGGTTGACATAGAACAAGATGTGACAAGAACGCGCCGTGCACCGAGTGCTTGAAGCGTGGCTACGAATGTGCGTACGTAGGTGGGCTACAGCTCGAGTCTGGTTTGAGCACATGGGGTGCTCCTGGCTTAAACATCGACGAGGTGGGAAACGCAAGCGACATGGAGAGCACGACAGGTGCTGGAAACCCAGCGTCCGACGCCTCGACAGCAGCACACGCGGCAGCCATGCCAAGCCAGACTTCTCATCTACACGCATCATTCTACTCTGACTCCTTGAAACAACTATCAAGGAGTGGTGGGAGCGAAGATTTGGTCGAGCTTCTCTTGTTACGCTTTGTCAGGTCTGGAGATTTTATCGCAGGTATAGTCTTAATGCATGCTTACAGTGTACTCGAAGCTTAGTAGGCAACAGGCATGCTTCATGAAGGTGTTCTTGTGAGGAAGGTATGAACAGGCTCGAGTCATGCTACTCACTGCAGAACAGTTGCTGATATTCTAAAGTGGTTAGCACTCAGAGACCAACCCTACCAGGCAACATTCGAATCTATGGCCCTCATCTATGGTTGCATAACGTTGGCCCTGATCCACTGCGACTTCCTCCAACAGACAGGACCGGGAGGTGTCGAACCGAGCAGAGACAACATTCAGAGCTTCCTGAATTATTGCCGAGAATGCCTACACCACTCCATTTCGGACACCCCTGGCGATGATAAGGTGGAAGCAAAGATCTTGTACTGTGCGGCAATACTCTACTACGAGCATAACCTAGGCCGAGCATTCGCCGCACTTGGCGAGGCTTCAGCTCTAGCCGAAGCCTCAGGCTACCGAGATAGCCCATATTCCAAGACACATGCTGGTCAAATGCGAGCAAGAGCCTGTGGCGTCCTGGACGTCTTGTATTATTATGCAGCTTTCTATCTCGGTAGAAGGCAGACCCCGTCTCTGCATTCGTTCCAAGGATCCACGGCTATTCTCAACATTCCCAACAGTCACTCCACCGAGTCAACGCTGTCGCTCTCTTCCCCGCAGCCACTTGAGCAATGGACGCCAGCGCTTCCAATCATTTTCCTCTGCCGATTGGCCAGAATATCTTCTACTGTTGGGCTAGAGATCTTCAAGGGTGCATCCGTAACACGGCAACTTCTCATGGACTTTGAAGCCCAGATCGAGGATGTGTACCAGAAGATTCCGGAGACGATCGTCGGCGATCAACTCAAAGCCACGTCCCTATCTATGATGGCGCGCATAGTATACTCTGGCGCGATACTGGTCCTGTACCGGAGGTCAATGTTTCCTCCCTACATCGGAAGACCAGGACAAGAGTGGAACCATTTCAGACGCAGATGCATCTTAGCCGCCGTCGACATCGTACATATCCAAGGCGAATTTGTGGAGAACGTGCAAAGCGAAAATCGATGGGATCTGAGCCCGCTTGTGTCATATGATTTTCTTTTGGCTACGACGGTGCTCTGCTTGGAGTTTTCGTTTCTACTCAGCAGTCCCAGCATCGTCGAAGATGGTGATTGGGCTAGACTTGTGATAATAGAGCCGGCAGTCCTCGAAGAGCGGCTTAGGACCTGTCAAGCATTTTGGGATCTTCGGGATCCGAGCAAGATACCGACGGCAGCCACTCGGGTTCTTACATGGGTGAACGAACTTCTGATGAAGTATGGATATACAGAACTTGGCCTTCCCTATATCACGCCGGGAAATACCGATATTTTTTCGATGGACGCATTGTGGTCGATTGAAAGCGCACGGATGGACCCCAACGAGTTTTCTACCGTATCTTCGGACAGCCAGGATTTTCCCGATGTTTTCAGGCCTTGGGCATGTTAGAAAAACTCAAGTGTGCCTACTCGTAGTACTTTCGTGATAGAAGAGGGAGAATTCATCACATCACAGAGCTCACTAGGCTATTAAAAGTGTGAAGTGGCGAGTCGGACATGTTATGTACAGCACGTGGCATCCATTCCCAAAATACCTGCTGAAGTGAGTGCACTAGCTCCCCTATCACGCCTGCAATCAGCTGCGGGGCAAACCCTGGGTTCTGGGACCAAACCATCCCTTGGCTAGCATCTGCGGGGCAACTCCAGACACAAACCCGAACGTGGACGGTGGGATGTCCCTTCCGCGCGCCAACGACCTGAAGGCTTGTAAGTTTTCGCGACGAAACGGCATGCTTCGGAGATTATTCTGGACGGACAAGGCCTCGATGTTGCTTTCCGAGACGCAGCCGGATTCCAGTGCAGGACATCCAGACAGCGCTTCTTGTGCTCACTACTCCACTGAACTTGCGCCACCCCAAACAGCTCCAAGCCATTTCTTGCGTGCGGCCACTTCCTGGTCGCCGTGCCATGGTCCGTTTCTTCTGAGGTGCGTCACGTTGTAGGCGCGCAATACGGACTTTCAAGGCTGATTCGGTGCATCTGGGCAGGGCATGCCATCCACCCACCCAAACCAACCCAATCCCACCCACATCCACAAACAGACCTAATACACCCACCCACGAACGCCTTCTGATTACATAACCAACTAGCCACCCACCCACTTAATATCATGGTGGGTGGCTGACGGTGGGTTAGTGGTTTTACATGTGTAGGTGAATAGCCTAGAGAGTCCCGCGTTGATCATTGCCCTTTGTCGTGGAGACTTACGTCCGTGCCACCCTGGCCAAGTTTACGGCTAAGGATAACGCGTAACGCGGCGTCCTAAACGCGATTAGTGACTTGGACCTTTCCTTGCCTTCTAAGCAAACCGACCAGCAATTGATACAACACTGCGGAAAGACAACTCATCCGATTCTTGACAACATGTCGGCTCGACAAGTTCCAGGCCCCTTCGGAGTTGAAAAAGCGCAGGTAACCCGACTCGAAGACCTGGCTCTACAGCATTTCCCCGGTTGGCTACGGTCTGAACGCAACAGAACAACGTCGAACTTTGTATGGCAATATGGATGCGACATCCAAAACAAGAACAAACGCAGATGGGTCTGTCAACTCTGTTTGGCATGCACCCGATCAAAAGTGGTCTATTACGATGCGGAGGGCCTTCAGAATGTAAAGGACCATCTTTTCAAAGACCACGGGATTTGTGCTCCTCATGGACAGAAAGCCGATGACGCCGAGAAGCGGGCAATCCAGAACATGGTGAAGAAGCGGACCATCACTGAGGCTTTTGGGCTCGATCCCAATAAATCACATGAACAGAAGATTGCTGATACCGTTATCAGAAGTTTTGACAAGTGAGTTTACTCGCAATGCTAGTTGTTTAGTAGACCGACTGGGGATTCTCAACGCAGGACGCACTTTCAACGACTTCTGATCCAGTGGATCGTCTCCAACAACCATGCCTTCTCTGAGACAGATAGAGGAGAGCTGCGAGCGATATTCGATTACTTGAACCCCTGCGTCGCTACCCAAGAAGCCCATATGTCTGGCCACACCACGTGAAGACGTATCATCCAAGAGTTTGATCGTCATAAAGACCACGTCCGTCAGGTCCTACAGAAGGCGCCGGGTCTGATACACATCTCCTTTGATGGCTGGACGGCCCGGAACCAGCTTGGGCTCTACGGGATTGCCTGCTTCTTCCGAGATGAGCGCAGTAGACCTTGCAAGATCGTTCTGGCGATCCCCGAAGCAGTCCGCCACACAGGTAGCTGCATCGGCGCCGAGGTCCTCGACATCATTGATGTCTTTGGGATTAAGCACAAGACGGGATATTTCACGCTGGACAACGCAGCATCTAACGACGTAGCAGCCGAGGTCATTGGAGCTGAATTGGGCTTTGATGGACGGCTACGTAGAGGACGATGCATCGGTCATACCATCAACTTGTCTGCAAAGGCCCTACTATTTGGCAAGACGGATGATGCTGCGTTTGAACAGCAGTTATCGGGCGCTGAAGCGTTGAATGAGGTTGATTGGAAACTTGGGCTATCCAAGGGCCCTGTGGGAAAACTTCATAACCTGGTGGTTGAAGTCAGGAGCTCGAATCGAATCTGGAGTCTATTGAAGGAGATCCAACAAGTAAGCAGGCTCGATCAGTAGCTACCGACCTGAAGCAGCTTGCCATCTCCTATGCTGAGTTATGGTACTGATTGTGGCCAGCAGGATGAGATCGACCAAGCGATATCTAGCCCGGCCAAGGCTCAGCAGAAAAGGCCTCTGAAGCTTGTGGCCGACAACCTAACACGCTGGCTTTCACAGCTGTATATGATTCGTAGAGCTCTCAAGTTGAAGAACGCTCTACGGATCCTGGTGGTAAGGTTCAAAGCACAATGGGAAGACGAGAATAGGTCGAAACGTAGCCTCGAGACCCCGCCAGCTGCGAAGACAAGGATGCCGAAACTCCTTCGCGAAGAGTCGCGCTTGACTGATACCGATTGGGATTCGCTGGAGCAACTCGAGCGTATCTTGACCGTCTATGAGACGGTCGTCAAAGTTCTCGAAGGGGACGGACAGCTACGAAATAGGCAACGAGGATGGGTCGGCTCATATGGCAATGTATGGGACGTTGTACAAGGCTTCGAGACCCTACTAGAGACTCTGGAGCGTTATAAGTCAATGGCAGCGAACCTACCCAATTCAGAGCAGTTCAGGATAGGCATCAATAACGCCTGGTCTAAACTTCACGAATATTACAAGAAACTGGATGAGACGCCGATATACTACGCAGCCTTGGCACTCCACCCAGCCTATCGTTGGGACTATTTCGAGACAATGGTCGGCTGACGGTCTCAAGGGCGGTGGGCTGGTCTGCGTCCTTGGCTGGGGAGGGGGGTTGGTGTCTACGGACCAAAGAATCATGCCGTCTCCAGGCAAGACTACGTCGAACGGACCAAAAGTTCTATCCGGACATCCGAGACATAAGAGTAGGGATTGATGTGAGTCACGAGCAGCCGGGATGATGTTGGATGTGCGTGCGATGAAGGCGGTGCTGGATTCGTCTGGGTTGATCGATATACAAAGAGCCCGCCAGACAAAGAAATAACACTTGTCCTGACTCCATATTCATCTACGCTACCAGACACAGTTGGACGCAATAATCATTATGGCCTGGTCAGAAGATGACGGCCTGAGAAAGCGTTTATGTTCGCGCGCCGAAGTGGCTCCGTAGCAGGTTCCAGAAATGGTCAGCAGTCGTCTTGGCAGACCTCAGGTCAAGAATGAGCGACCGGAGGAGGTGAATAAACGGACCATGGCGCATCGACCGGGAAGTGGCCGCACGCACGAAATGGCCTGGAACCTGTTCAAGGGTGGTGTAAGTTCATTGGCGGACCGAAACTATCCCTTGGCTGGTATCTGCGGGGCGAGTCTAGGGACTAAAAGTGACTCCATGTGGCGGGATCAACCCGCCCTTTGCCCCAGATGCACCGAACCAGCCCAAAGTGCGTATTGCGCGCCTACAACGTGACGCACCTCAGGTCGAGAATGAACGACCGAAAGAGGTGAAGAAACGGACCATGGCACGTCGCCCAGGAAATGACCATACGCAAGAAATTGCCTGAGGTGGTTTAGGGTGGAGCGACCAAAAGGAGCGCTGTCTGGATGTCTAGTTCCTGCCATGACCTGAAGTCGATTGAAGCTGGTCCCGCAATTGTGGTCCAAGTCCGTGGGGCTGCAACTGCCTGCGGGGCATGATCTGGCGCAGGCACGGAAGGTTGCCTGCAGCTGATTACAGCCACTGGGGAGAACAAAGATCCTAGGTGATATCTCCAAATGCAGCAGACTATCCTCTTCATTTCAATGGATTTTCATTTGGCCCTCAATATGATACTGGAACTCCTTACGCTGTGTTCGTTATCTGCCACCGAGTATCGCATTGTCAGGCTGCAGCCACGTCCCCCTCGCCCTATTCCCACGCTTCGACACCATGAGTGGCGAACGCAAGGGATCGCCCATCTCTGGGCACTTAGATACTGGTAAGATGCAGAACCTAGTGCCTTCCGAATCCCATATGGGCGATTCTGGGATCGGTTACATCACTGCAAATAAATTGGCCTCCTTGATCAGACATACTCGATAGAGTCTCTGTTGACCTGCAGCTTTTTCTCTTCTGTTAATCGAAAGTGGTCCTCTTTACGAAGGTATAGATTGCCTCTAGGAACCGCAAGAGGTGCCTGTGTAACCAGCGTGGGGCACAGAACCATCTCCAGGAGGCGAAGGGCATTATGCGCCCATCGTGTTTCGGCCTTGAAGATGGTTGCTTTGCTGTTTTGTCTCTCGGCACTGATACAGTCCGGAATATTTTTGGGTCTTTCACGTTATTGGCTTCATACGGCAAGCGCAAAGCCATTGCGGCCACGCGAATCTGTTTTGTGGAGTGTGCGTTGAGGTCCGCTGCTGAGTCTGGAAAGGTACAGCGCCCCAACTCTGGTGACGTCTATACTGATTTATATCGAGCTAATCTTCAGAATACAAACAAAGCACTACTCCTTGTCATGCGCGTGATATGTGTCTAGTCATGGCAGAATATTCTTGTTATCGTAACTCTCTATCATTACAGAAGTTCAATACCTTTCCTTGCCCAAAGAGGAATCAACCCGCTCTGAACCGATACCGCAACCCGCCCAAGCCTGGACGCTACAAATTGCCTTATTTACATCAAATCATGGTTGATCTAGACTTCTTGGAGCTCCCACCTATTCGAGGCTCAGACCCCTACAGCATGTATCGATATCAAATGATGTTTCTTGAAAGGCAACATCAGCTGAGGTGGCTGAAGAAAGGTACGCATGAGGACCGGTCTGGCTTTGGACAGACCTGAAGCTACTGTCTCGGCAAGGCATTGCCTCGATGTCCAGCTCCGTCGATACTCGGCTCCGTTTGACGACTGCGATCCGTTTCTACTTGCAAAGATGGCTGTGCTTATGTGGGATATTATACGAGGCAAGGGCAATATGGATAAACAAATGGTGTGGGAGGACGGTGGAGATATATCCCGCGTACAGCGGTTATCTCATAATTTCCTGGTACGATAATTCCAATTCTCTAGTCAAGCAAGCGGGATGTATCCCTATCATTTGAAATGTACTGCAATATCTTCGGGACAAGCCGTAAAGCAATCTAGTAACTTTATACCGGAAGCGACGCTGTCTTCATACCCTACGTTGTACTTGATCATGGCACGATGGCATAGATCGTTACACTTTTATGGGTTGTACTGAAGCGCTGACCCAACGTTTTGGCACTCTCGCTTGAGCCACCTCTAGACATTCCTTTCAGCACGCTCGAACTCCAGCGCAAAGACTCGCCTACGAGGGCTGCGTAACCATGACTTTAAGTTCACTAATCGGCCATGATGGACACAGGTACAGGTGCTCACTTGCTGCGGGAATGGTTATGAATTCGGGTACGCAGTCTTCGACAATGCAAAGAACAACAGTGCCGCAAGGGACGAACTTGGGAGAGGGTTCCCCGCTTCGATCCCATCACTTATCACAACGCCTATCTCCAAATAAGAACTTGCCTTGTAGAATGAACGGGGCGAAAAAGGCATCCATTGAATCATTGAAGCATCGGGTTGTATTTCTTCTACCTTATTCCTCACTATGCGGTAAGCTACCTCGGAAGACTTCCATCACGAAGAACATGGAACCGATCTTTGTGTATTGTTGAGCGAACTGGTACAAGTCAACTGCGAGGTGCCGAGGTCGTACATAATCCAGCTATTCATTTGTATGTCGGTAACGCGCGTCGTATATATGTCTGTTCCATTGAGACTTGTCCCGCTTTTGTAGCGACACTGACACCGTAATATGCCGTCGTCAGCGCCCGTTGTATTCAACGAAACTGAACAGTTGCTACAAGTATTTGTGAAGTTTACTCCTTGAGAAAGCGTTCCGCCGTTGTTGCTAAAACACTGGTCGAGGTCCAGTTGGGTACATATGTTCACTGTGTCTGATGAACACTGCGCTTTTAACAAGCCGTCCCTAGGACAGAAGTGTGTGACTTTGCAGTGATCAAGAAATGGCACCTGGCAAGCTTGAACAGACGCGAGATGGATGAAAAGGACAAACAGAATTTTGGTCATTATGGTGAGCTATTTCGAATCAACGTGGAGTGGACCATCCACGTCTGAGTTTGAGGCGCGGGTCCCCGATTTATAGATTCCATCCTATGGAGGGCCGATTCTAGAGGTCAAAGACCAGCGGCACCAGTGTCCACATGTCCCCTGACGAGAACCAACTACATGATCTGAGGTCGAATTATGGCCAGCAGGACTCATGTAGCCCCGTGAACATTGGGCCACTTCGTTCATCAGCCTAATCCGACTTCATGCCGTTGTTTGTACGCGGCAGAAAGTCGATATCTAGTTCTGGTCATTTCACAAATGGCCCTTGTCAGTTCCGCGCATATGAGCACTTCACACTTTGTCATTGTCCGTTTTGATACTTTTTGGTGGCCCAATCCTTTCAGCCGTGCGAATCAATTCAGCTCAAACCTACACGAGAGCGTTTGCTGGCCACACCCGAAAGCTGCCGTGTCGTCATTTTGTGGCGTGGTGAAGCGTTTTCCACTCTCTTGATTAGTATGCTGCATCGTATGTATATGTAATTGACAATGTAATTATTAAAGTGAGTATTATAACCTGGTACGGCTACCTTTGATTGTTTCAGCTTGAGAATTCCGTTATCACTGTACTGCCCTTGAGCGCTTGTGGCCAAATATGGGTTTAGGAGGTAAGCTTGACATACCTCACTCTTGCCCTAGTATCTGCTGTATGACAGACACAACGATTGAGATTGGATCTGACACTATTATAGACTTACCCAATGAAGTTCTCTTTACCATATTAAGAATGGTAGCAGAGAACGACGGCATTGCCTTGGCTCGCACATGTCATGACCTATGTGTACGGGTAATAGCCAAGGTGTACGAACACCACGTAATGCGTTATAAATTCGAAGGAGTTCCACTTTCATTACAGTTTTCTTGCTGGAATGAGCGAGTTGGAACCTTTGAAATGTCTATCACGGCTATTAGGCGAATTGGACAAGATCTGAATAGCATGCTTCGACGAGTCTTCACACTGGTTGAGTTGGACAGATTTGCGTCCCTTCGAGGCCTGCTCACCAGTGAAGAGCACGGTCTTCCGTTGCCACACATCCGGGTCGATCACACAAGTTATACATTACTACATATATGCTCTCTGCGTGGCAGCGTCCTGATAATGACAGAGCTGTTGGGTCTAGGAATGGATGCCAACATTACAGACACGAGGAGAAACACGGCGGTTCATTATGCCAGAAATGGGACTGTAGTAAGTCGTCCTACCACATTCTTACGCAGACTGAGAAACTTGTCTCCCACCGTGTAAGACCTAAGGACAACACATGTTGATTCAAAGCCAGGCTGCGAATCTTGTCTGCCGTGGTGCGGTGGTCAAAGAGCATTACAAGGCCCAGAATTTGCCCCTCGTCTCATTAATACAAATTCATTTCATCCAGACATACCATTATTCTAGGGATCCTTCAAGATGGAATCACGATTGCAGGCAGCAAAATGTGGTATCCAGTGCGGATACCACTGATGCTAGGCCTGAAGTAATCTCGGCGATCAAATACTTAATAGATGCTAGTACAAACAGCTATCCACAAGCAACTGACCCATATGCCACTATCTTACGCAATTAGATGTAAACTCTCTGACGTTGTAGCACTCTTTATCTCTGCGGGAGCTGAGTTGAGCCCCACTTTTGTCGCTGATGGGAACGAGGAAAAATATCTGCTACTCAACGAAGCCTTTAGTTTCGCTACACCGGAATACTTTACCTGCCGACCACCGAGTCCAGCACGAGTAACACTGAGTACACTGCAACGATCAATGTACGAACTCGAGACCATATCATCTGGGAAGAGCTATGACGACGTCGAACTCGCTGTAGACGCCTATGGGCAATGTGGCTGGAACAGTAGATCGCCTTGCCGTTCTGGTTGCTATAATTACTAATGGCGTTTTCTACGATACACGATCCGCAGCAACTTCTTCGAAGAGGACACGATCCTAGCATAAACGTAGATCGGCGCTTCGTTCTGCGGCCATCCGGCGTATTATCTTCACCGTCCAGCCGATCGAGGCCAGGGCTTAGCTGACGCTCGTTCTCGTCACTTCAGCACCAATATCATCGGCAAGGCAATCAAGCATCTCATCTTGATAAATATAAGGATAGTCGAGGAGCTTGTGGCATAGTGCAGATAGCCTGGGGGCGTCACGGCTTTCGGGCGTCCGACTGCATTATGAGGGGCTTTGGTCGAATCGAAACATCGCAGGTTCGCTCGAATCATTCGGATGGACCGCGTGCTACAGCCGATCGCATTGGCAATTGCGACGCTGAAATCATTATTTTCGATCATGCCGGGTGATGGTTGTGTCTCTCGTGATGAGGATAACAGTTGCAAACGAGAGAATAGAAGCGACACCAGAATCCATTGGTGTCAACCCGCAGTTGGGGCGCCTTGACGCCAGCCTGCCTCAGCACAGCCCACAGAGGCGCCTAGCTTTGACTGGCTGCACCAATGGAACTAGCGATTCGGTCTTTCTAGCCACTGCAGGCCGGGCACTTGACCCATATTCGGTGCTGCGATTGGCTGAGGTCCGCCAAGAGTCAGCCTACGCTGCACCAGTCGCCGGCAGGCACACCACGAGAAGGGTGCGGGCAACACTTTCTGCACTTTCTTCGACAACGCCAGCCTCGTCCCAGACTGCTCCCGTATCTGCCTGCCCATCGCAATTCTCGTCGCTTGATTGTTTGACAATGTCAGCTACTTCTACTCGCGCGAGGCCATCGAGAACACCAGTTGGCACTCTCGGAAATCGAAGCCGTTCGAAAGCGGGACCGTGACCATGACCTCTGGAATCAAGATCGTGTACCCTCTAGATGGAGATGCTGGCACTGTCGATACCGTGGTCGAGTATGCGCGTCTTTGGCCGTTCTATCACTCCGCTGACTCCCTGTAGCATCGTCGCGATCCATGGCATCGGTGCCCACCCCGACGACACATGGACCTGGAAGAGGCCGGACGAGAGGACAAATTGGCTGGCAGATCCCAACATGCTCCCGAAGGCAGTCCCCAACGCACGCATAATGCGCTTCGGCTACAAGTCTACATGGTTTGGCAACGAGAAGGACGAACCGAAGAAAACGTATGTTTCTGATGTGGCTGAAATGCTCCTCACAGGGTTACATTCTCATCGTCTTGTGAGCTAGACATTATCCCAACCCAGTCACAATCGACTAAGCAATACAGGGCGCCACTTGGCCGATAGTCTTCATTGCGCACAGCTATGGTGGCCTAGTACTTCTTCAAGCCCTTCGACGCTCTTTCGACAACCCCGAAAAGTGGTCGAAGTCTTTCCACCACACTGCTGGCCTTGTCTTTTTCGGAACGCCTTTCCGAGGACGAGCAGGTCTATCTAGTTCATCAAAAGTTGGGAAACGAAATAGACGACGATGCTGCCACACGGCTTGTCGACTCGTTGGAGTATATGCCATTGGCCATCGTGCAGGCCGCTGCCTATATCGCGCATCGAGCGCCGCGCTGCTCAGCGGAACAGTACTTGGAGAGGTTTGAGAAGAGTGATCGGAAGAGAGCGACTTTGCTGGACTACGAAGGCGGCCAGCTCCGTCGAGATCGCGAAGCCAAGAACTCGATCATCATCACATGGCACATATCTTTCGATCATATTCGGCAAACTAGACCATCAGCAGCAGACCTGCTGGCGCTCATGAGCTACTTCGATCGGCAAGGCATACCTGAATACTTGCTCAAGGTACGGGATGATAATCATGATGCTGAAATGGCCGCAAGCAATGCCAATCCGAGCGGCCTAGAGGATGATGAGAATGGTGAGTGGTCGTCCATCGACTCCACATCCAGTGATGGAGGTGCATTTGAGGATGACGTCATTCTGTTAAGAAACTTTTCATTTGTTTCTGTCACTGAAAATAGCGACGTCTACGAGATGCACCGGCTTGTACAAATAGCGACGCAAAAGTGGCTCGCAAATGACGGCCAGGAAGAAAGGTTGAAGCAGCAGTTTATCGGCAATCTTGTCGCTCATCTTCCTGATGGGCAGTACGAGAATTGGACTTTATGGCAGGCATTGCTACCGCATGCGAGAGCGGCGTCCAGGCACAAAGTGAAGGATGAAGCAGCAATGCAGGATTGGGCTACGATTCTCTACTTGACTGCCTGGTATTTTGAGAGAATAGGTAGCGGTCATGAGGCCGAGGAAGCGTCCGTTCTTGCTATGAAGGCCAGGACGAAGCTTCTCGGAAGAGAGCACCAAGATGCATTAAACAGCATGACCATGGCAGGGTTGGCTTACAAACTTAGAGGTCGGTGGGAGGAAGCGGAGAAGCTGTTTGTGGAAGTGATGGAGTCTCGCAAGCAGAAACTGGGAGCGGATCATCCAGACACGCTGACCAGCATGGGCAACCTGGCGTCGACGTACAGGAATCAAGGTCGGTGGGAGGAAGCGGAGAAGCTGGACGTGGAAGTGATGGAGACGAGCAAGCAGAAACTGGGAGCGGATCATCCTTCCACGCTGACCAGCATGGGCAACCTGGCGTCGACGTTTTGGAATCAAGGTCGGTGGGAGGAAGATGGAGATTCGCAAGCAGAAACTGGGAGCGGGTCATCCAGGCACGCTGACCAGCATGGCCAATCTCGCCCACACCGACTGCGAGGTGCTCCCGGCCTACGGGGAATCGAGCGACGAGTACGACTCCGAGACCTGGGAGGAGATCCAGCAGGAGCAGAACGAGCCCGCGCGAGCTTGCGCCCCAGACAACGCGCCCCAGTCCGAGGAAGAGGTCGGAAGCATACTCGACTCCTGCGTCGAGGCGTACCAGGCGGACTGGTACCACGATAAGCTGCCCAATCGAAAGAGCTTGGCACAGCTCGCGTCGTCGTCCGCGCAAGCACAGCGCCTCCTCCACCAGGAACACGACCACCTGGTCCGCATAATCGCCCAGCTTCGACGCAACCTATTTGCTCCCAGAGCCCCCTGGACCCGCGTGGCGAGGCTGGTGGAGGCCGCCGGCGTCCTGCGACCTAGCGTCAGGGACTTGCTCAAGGTCGAGTGGCGGCTGGGCTACCCCCAGCCGCCCGCGCCCGCGACAGCCTGCGACAGCCTGTGTGCTGCCGGCGACGAACACGATCAGGACGGCGAGGAGATAGAGAGCGACTTGGAGGACTGCGACTGCAGACGACGGCCCGCCATCGCCATCGCCCCCGCGCCCCCGTGCCCTGCCTAGACCCGACCCCATGGTGATCGACTTGACGGGCGACAGCGACGAGGAGGCCCCCCCCGCCCCTAGCCTCCACAGAGCCCAAGGACAGCGCCCCCGACGATACCGAGACGAGCCAGGCGGAAGCCCTAGCCGGGCGTTTCGCGAACCGCGGCATCTCCGACAAGGACTGGGCGAGCCTCTGCCGGCTCTTCCAGATGGACGCCAACGCCGAGGCGCACCAGCCGGCCGGGTTCAGGCTCGCGCTCTCGAGCTACCAGCTGCCTGCCGTCTGGTGGCAGCTTACGCAGTATCCTGTGCGGCAGGTCCCCGGCGGCTGCCTCGGCGACGAGATGGGCCTGGGCAAGTCCTTTGAGGTCATCGCCACCTTTGCCATCTTCGCCACGATCAAGACGAGCTACCAAAAGGTGCGCCGCGCCTGGCGCCGCGCCGACCTGACCGCCGACGGCCAGGAGCACCTCCCGGAGGACCAGCCCGCTACAGTAATGGGGTGCCCCAGCCAGCACCTCTCCCCATACGGTCTACTCTGCCCGTGCGTTAAGTCGGGGGAGTCGTACCTCATAGCGATGCGGCTGCCGTCCCTCCCGATCCTGTGTTTCGCCCCGCCGACCTCGCTGCACAGGACATCGTACATATCGTGACGCGCCTGGGCCAGGGACTAGTGGCCGAAAGAGGTGAGCACAAGAGCAATTGACTCCAGCCACCAGGAGCCCCCGCCCCGCCAGGACCACCAAGCAGATGCGTGGAATCCTCCACAACACGCCAACGTGGAATGTGAAAGCACCCAAAGCCAGGTCCAAGCACCTCAGACTCGGACCAATGGATCCGACAATGCCGTAGAGAAACGAAAACGACCTCTTTTGCCGGAGCCGTCCAGCCAACGCCCGCCGTCTCAGGATACGCCAGAACCATCCGGTATAATAACCCAGGCGGGCGCCGAGCCGCCAGAGCGGAAGCGTCAGAGGAGGTCGATGTCGGAGAGGCCTCTCATCCCGGTTGCAGAATTGCCGACGGGCCCTCGTCCTCGGACAACAGGGGCTCAAAAGGGAAAGACGAAGGGTGTCTCGACGGGCACGGGGATGGCCTTGAGGGGGCGGCATACCCGCATACGTCAGGTTCTGCCCGCCACGCATCTTTTCACGAATGGCCGATTCCACGGGCAGTGCTCAAATGCGTCATGGACAATGGTGGCACAACTTGCCAACTCCAGTTCACATTGGGCCCAGACAAGCCACCATTCTTGTCGTTGGCGAAGCCCCGCCGACGGGCGGCTCCTTGCAGGAAGCCCCGTCCATCTCCGAATACGGCTGCAGTGGACCCAAATGAAGGTAGGATGACAATGCTGCCGTTGACCCTTCTCATGGGCTAATCAATCTCAACCAGATAATGTGTTCGAAGTGAAGCGGCTCCTCGCGCGGCGTTGGAAGCATAAGTTCTTCCTCGAGTGGGCAGATGGCACGTATTCTTGGGAACCTCGCCGAAACATCAGCGAGACGCTTGTTCGTGACTTCGAAGAGTCTTACCGAGGGTTTGATGAGGGGGTAGACGTTCTCAAGCTTCGACACGGGAAAGCAGGGTCGATCCAGTGGCTCTTACACTGGCATGGACGCCCCTGTACGGAGGATGCAAGGGTCGACGAAGGGCTTCTGAGCACGGAACTACGAGAACGCTGCGGGAGCTACATTTTTGATCACGAATGGGTGAACTAGGAGGGCAATTGGACCAAATTTCTTGTTCTCGTCATGACGTGTTTAGCTCCCTAGTTTTTTTTAAGCCAGAGCTTCCTGTGCAAACCTCTTTCGACACGTCGTCTGCGCCTAGGTGGCCTGTGTTGCGAACTTGAGGCCCGTTTCTGATCCCCAAGACACTTGCGAAGCTGCGCCATTTGTTCCGGCTGCAAGACCGCTGTATGTTCTGCCTTCGCGTCGTATATGATATTGCGGTCCCACTCAATGCACCAGTGGACACA